ACCAGTCGAGTAGCTGAACTAGCCTAAACAGTCAATACCAAGCCCATCTCATAAAACATGCACATACCCACAAACGAGAAGCCTGCTTATCTGAGCCGGCTTCTCGGGCCGCCCGAGTACCGATGGGTGAAATGGAGGTGCCTCGAAAACTCTCCACAGAACACGAAAACTACATTTTCCAATTCGGTATCTCCTATCATACAGAAAAGGTACCAATAATTCGAGTGTTGCCATCAGGAAACCGCCTCCGTCTAGATGAGATAAGAACTGCCGAGGTAATAGACCTTAGTCTCTAGCTCCGACTGTGCATTATGGCAGTAACAACGCTCGCCATAACTTGGAACGAAATTTGGATTGCCAATCCAGATGAGCAAAGAGAGACAGTTGATAGGTATAAATATTAGATTCCACAAGAGAGAGGAAACCATTACAGCTAGTGGAGGGTTAAATCATCGGATAGGGACGGCACATTCTCCTGTAATAGAGAACTATATAATCCCCAGAGTACGTAGAAAGTTTGGCCCATACAACTCATACTTGCGGCGCGGAGATTTCAGGTGGAAAATCGTCCCGGAGTAGGCGTATCTGGTACACAGAAATTAGAGTTGATACATACTTTGCCTCATAGAATAAACAACGGTACTCACTTGCCTCTCCCAGGAGGACAATTGGCTGTGAATCACCTTTAACTTCTCTCGAGCTTGCTGTATCCGGGGGGCCGAGTGGCGGACACTCTCAGGACCCAACCACTTGGTGTTGCTTTTCAAGGAGCCCATATGTTGGTTCATCGTTTCCCACCATTCCGTTAGATTTGTGTTTATGTCCTTTAATGAGTCAAATGGACTTTGAATCTCATTCAGTTGGTTTGAAGTGGATCTCTGACCGTCGAGAGCTTGAACATGTACTTGGAAACGATTCATGCCAGTATAGCGGAAAACAAGTCTTCGATCGAAGCTTTCGCACAGGAGATGCACGAATATCGGTTAGAGCTCAAAAAGGTATCTTCTGTGTCAGCATGATGCAAGTCCTTCGTCACTGATGATGTCCAGCTTGACTCCAAGATAAAGGCGACAAAGGATGAAATGAAAACGAAGGAGGGCGAGGATCGAAGGCAGCTTAAGAAAGATGTAACCGTGTTATCCTGTGTTTCC